CTATAGAAGAATATTTAAATAAGATTAAGGAAATATATATTAAATTATAATTAAGGAGTATTAATATAGATAAAATGGTTATTATAGCCTAGACTTTATCTATTATTAAAGATATAGATAAAAGTTTTAAAGGATTTATATCTAGTATAAATTAGGCTTTAAGAAATAACCTACTTTTATATACTATAGATACTCTTACTTCTAGTCTTATAAATAAGGCTAAAAGACTTAAATATTCTAATAATAATAATTCTAAAATTATAAATATTATTAAACAACCCTAAAAAAAGACTAAGAAAAGCTTAAAGTATAATTACTATAAGCTTAAGAGTTATAATAAAGAAAATTACTATTTTCTTTATCTAGATAAAGCTCTTTATAGCTTTAAAAATAAGGTTACTAAAGACTTTAATAAACCTAAGGGTTATAATAAGTTTAAAATAACTAGGTTTAAAGACTTTAATAAGTCTAAAAAACCTTATACTAAGGAAAAAGAAGAAAGAGTTATAGTTACTAATAGTAAATATAATTCTAATAATTCTTCTATATATTCCTTTAGAAATAAGTTAAATAAATCTAATTTAACTATTAATTTAGATTATAAAAATGTTAATTTAGATATTAAAAATTCTATAGTATTTACTACTATAACCCTATATACTAATAATAATAAGAAAAATATTAACTATATTTTTAATAATATAGAAGGAATAAAATAGGATTCTTTATTTACTAATTATATTTATAATTTAGGAAAAAGAGTTAATAAGGTTTATAATAATAATATTATTATTTTTAATAATAATAATAATAATACTATTCCTTTTATATTTAATATAAGTACTACTAAGTATATTATTTCTAATAAAGAATATTTAGTTAATTATAAAGAAATAAATTATAAGGTTAGTTAGGATAAGGCTACTTCTATTAATATAAAAGGCTAAGGTAACCTAATATTTAATTTTATAAATAATAAAAAATAATTTATATTAAGAAATTATTACTATATACCTAAACTTAGTTTTAATATAATTAGCTAGTCTTATTCTAAGGATCTAATATCTTTATTTATAGGTAATAATTCTTATCTATATAATAAAAATAATATAGAATTTTTAGCTTATAGAAAATAGTCTAAAGGTCTATATATATTAAATTTAGAATTTTCTAAAGATAATAATAATAATATTATATTTATTTATAATAATAATAACTATAATAAAGATTCTTATAATAAGTATAATAATAATTTATATAAATAGTATTTAAGACTAGCCTATTTAAATTATAAAGATTTATTAAGAAGACTTAATAGGTCTAAATTAGCTATAAGCTATATAACTAAAGATATAATAATAGTTAAAAACTATAAAATCTATATAAAAGCTAAGCTAACTAATAAGGTTAATAAAAAGTCTTATACTAAATATAAATATTTAGATAAAATATCTATAGATATATAGGGACCTATAAAAACCCCTACTTATAATAAATATAGGTATTTTATAACCTTTTTAGACTATTATAGTAAATATCTAAAAGCCTACCTTATTAGAAATAAAGTAGAAGCTTTAGATAAATTTAAGGAATATAAGGCTTATATAGAAAATAATTCTAATAGAATAACTATAAAGTTAGTATTTACTAATAATACTTTAGAATTTATATATAATTTTAAATAATATTTTAAATTATATAGTATAAAATTTAATAATTCCCTACCCTATACTAAAGAACCTAATAGTATTATAGAAAGGGTAAATAGGACTTTATTAAATAAAATAAAAGCTATATTATTTACTACTAATATACCTACCTTTTTATAGGGGGAAGCTTTAGAAACTACTATTTATTTATATAATATAATACTATATAATTCTCTAAAAAATAATATAAGTCCTATAGAATTAAAGGAAAATAGAATTTTAACTAAATATAATTTATTAGTTATAAAGACTTTTAGAAGTATAGTCTATTATAAGAATAAGACTCCTAGTTCTAAACTAGAGACTAAAGCCTTTAAAGGTATAGTTATAGGATATCTTCTAAATTCTTATAAAATATAGGATATTTCTAAGAAAAAAGTTATAATTTCTAGAGATATTGTTATATTAGAAAATAATTTTATAAATAATAATAATAATAATATCTCTTTTAATTTATTAGAAGAGAATAACTATAATTATAGGAAGTCCTTAGCTAACTAAGTCTCTTTAGATAATAATAATAATAGTATTATAAATAATAATAATATTAATAATAATAATAGTATTATTAATAATAATACTAATAATAATACTAATAATATAGAAAATAATTCTATAGATAACTCTTTAATAGAGAATAATAACTCTATTAAGGAGGATAATAAAGGCATACCTAAAACCAATATATCTATTAATATACCTAGAAAAATAGATAAAAAAGAAGAATATAAAGAAATCCCTAATATAATAATAATAAATAATTATAATAATTATATTCTTAATACTATAAATAAGCCTTTAGAGCCTTCTAGTTATAATAAAGCTATAAATTCTAAGGAAAATTTAGAATAGCTAGAGTCTATAAAACTAGAAGTAGATAAATTATATTTTTATAATACTTAGACTATATCTTATAAACCTAAGGAAAATCGAGAAATTCTAAAAGGTCGCTAGGTATATAAAATAAAAGAAAATAATTTAGATTATAAATATAAGTATAAATCTAGA